TTAAATAATTATAAATACTCATTAATTTAAGGCTATATATCCTATATATCTAAAAAGTACAGATATAGAGCGCATACATTCAATAGAATTGTACAATAAGTAAGGTTATGTATGCTACTCCTTGAGTTTACAGCGTGCAAGTAAAATTTACCCACACACACACACATACATACACACCCACACTTACACCGACTCATTCCCCTTGTTTCGGACAGGTTTTTATGTAGCGTAACTAAACGTTAATTTATAGCCAAAAACTGCTCAACTTTCTCTGTCTTTAGGCCTTCTGCTTGAGTCCGCCCAGTTTGGGAATTAAAAACAAATTAACACGCTACCAAAAAAATAGAAATAGAAGAAAAATTGTAGTAGAGAATTGGAGGAGTTGCTTGGTGGGTGCGTCGCTCGCTTTGCGTGTGTAGCCAAGTGAATTTTACAACTCCGTCGTCTTTTATCTAATTGAGTTTATACATTTTTGTTGGGCTTCGCATCGGCTGGTTTGTCTTATTGTTAATGCGCTCGTAAAACATGCGCAAAAATTGAAAGCAATAAAACGCCGGCGGACAGACATTGAAAATTAAAATAAACACATTAAACGAGATGCCTTCCAAGCGATAACAAGTGTAGGCGGCCAAAATACACACATGCACACACGCACAGCGACACAATAAATCAAACGAAGCGTAACGCGTATTTTATACTCGGTTTATAATTTACATGCCGTATTACATATGCACAGGTCCTGTAGCTAAAAACAAATTTTAATGGCTTCTAGCAAGAAAATTGCATTTGAAAGTTTTAAGCTTTAATTAAACCTATCTATCGATGTCAGCTATGCGATATTTAAATGCCGATAAGCTTGATTGTTGCCATTCACAACGAACTTTCGTTAAGTTTGCTTAATTAACAAATTTGAATTTTGAATATCATGCTCCAATTTTAAAATATCCCACATTAAAACAAATGTGCATATTATAAAAATCTACAGCTATATTAATTTTTGTATTAATTTGGTACTTTATATTATACGATAGTTTTGGTAAATATATACATATATCGATAAGCTTGATCGCTGTCGATTCGACATTCGCATATATGCGAATACTTTTTGACATTCGCCACAAAACGTCGACTCGCGTCAATAAGACTTATTGCGTATTATAAAATTAAAGTGAAAAATGCAAAGCTGCTTTTGTGAAATGTGCTTTAAGAAAGTGAATGTGTACATTAATACAAAACGCATATTACGCAATCATTTGCCGTGCCCATCCATGCCAATGCACGTGAGTCTTTATGCATTTGTACTCTGCCATCCAAACATACCGAACGCTTGACATTAAGAAAACAAACAGAACTGCTCGAGCGTCAAGAGAAATACATATGTCATTACGAGAATTATGAAATAGCAGGGAAAAACACTTAGCAGTAAATGAAAAATTATACGTATGTTGACAACAGGACACGCCGCTATACAAACACACACACACACAGGCGCAGATATTGCCAGCAGGCCATAAATTAGCCCGCATGCAGGCATCAGGTGGGTACGCAATGATTGCAGGACAGCAGACAGATGGGCGCAGGAGGCAGCGAGTGGGTGGGAGCAGGGGGGCGTTGTCGTCCCCCATAGACAAGTAGTTTCCGTCCGGGTAGGTGGTAAAAAATGCGTAGAGCGGTAGTTGCTGTCAAGTCATAAAACAAAGTGCTGTGTTGTGTCTACAAATGATTTGGCTTATTCGTGCAGAACAAATCGTACGTCATTTGTTGGGCCACTAAAAAGTTAAAGTTGGCCCTCTGGCTTTAGCTCCTGCTCCGGCTACTGCCCCTCCCATTGCTCAGGCTGTGCACATTTCTATCTGTGAACAATTGCGCAATTAATGTTCGAGAATTATGTGCGTGACAGCCACACACAGAGAGACAGACAGACAGACAAGACGTCGTCGCCGGCGTCACTGATAGAGCCATAAAAGGTTGCCTTCAATATCGAATGCACTGGGCTTTTCGTGCCACATTTTACGGCTTTACACATGAGCCATATTGCTGCTGTAGCCCTCCAACTCGCCTCCTCCTCCTGCTCCTGCTAGTTTATGATCCATGCAGACAGCGCCTAAGTCGCCGCTTTCCGCCCAATTCTCGCATGTGGCAATCGTCATTGGCATCGCTTTGCCAAAATGAAATCATAAATTTATAATTAATTTGCATATGCATGCATTTCTTCGCTCCATACGCACATCTATTGCCATGCCAAATTGGCATCATGGCTCAATTTTAATGGGCTTTTAGGGCTCAACATGTAGAAATTGAAATTAATTTACGAGCGCTCAAAACTAATGAGTTCCCCCTTTTCATACCCTCGAATGTAATGAAAATGGGAGTATTATGTCTTTAGCTAAATATAATTATGATATATGCTTGATCAAGAATAGATTAAATTTATATAAATCCGACTGTTGATCTGAGTTTCATATAAAAATATAATGTTTTTATAAAATAACTAGCTGGCCTGGCAAACGTTGCATTGCCCTCTATATTATTTCTAGGTAAAAAATTGTTGAAAGCTATGTTGTTCAGGCTGGGATACACTGATAAATTTATTAATCGGATTTTCATTCAAGCACCTTGTTGTAAACGACATTCTTCGTTTTTTGGTCGGGTGCAAGAACAAATAATGCGGATCGTTTGCCAACACGTGAGCATGCCACGTACAATTGACCATGAGAAAAACACGCATTTTCTAGATTGAGGCCACAAATAGTCAAAGATTGGCCCTGTGACTTGTTGATCGTCATGGCGAAGGCAAGACGAAGCGGGAATTGAATTCGTTTAAATTCAAAGGGCATATCTGTTGAGCTCATCGGAATCCTAGGAATAANTTGTTTATTTACTTCTACACTATTGTCAAAACTGTCACTGTTACCAAGCCTACTGGGTATAAAAAAAATTTGAACATTTGGGGAAAAAACCGCGTTTTTCAAGTATTCGGCAAATTTTTTCAGTATTTTTAAGACCCTATACTAAACTCGTTGCGGAGACAAATCCAACAAATCAAAAACCATGAAAATTGGTTCRGCCCAAATCAAGTTATAAGCAGTCTTCACTTTTACACAACTTTCTTTTATATATATAGATATAAAATAAAATAAAAACTAAGTACTCAGGGTATCTGCTGGTCGAGCATTTCTCTCTAAACCACTCTTACTTGTTATCTCTAATATCATTAAAATTGTTGGCCTCAATTTCCAGCATTTATGTGCATTTTATAGGGATTTTAATTATGCACAAAAATAGTTATATTCATGTCTTAAAAGGCAGTAAAACTTATATATCTTTTCGGTATGTATATCATTTGATTATGCTATATAGTATTACCTATGCTAACTCCAATAATTTCGTTGATGTAGGGATGCAGAGTTATCGGAGATATGAAGCGGATTTGGCAGTTGTCAAAAGTCGGCAACAAAACACGTCAAGTGCAGCTCCAGAGCTGAGAGCCCTTTTATTGTTGTTCATTAATTTTAATGTTTGCGCAACCTGCGTGCAATTTCGAAGCCGAATTGAATTGAATTTGAAGTGGGCAACGTCGAGAGCTCGGGAACATCAGCTAAACAGCTACTAAAATGCTACGTCTGGGCCGCACGATAAAGCCAGAAGCCAATGAAGCTAAGTGCGGTTATGAACCCTTTTCGCATTTGGCTAAAACAACAAAGGGCCACAACCAAATGGGTGGCAAATGGAATTGGAGCTGCACAAGGCGCTGACAATAGAAGCTGACTGGCTGACTGGATGGCATTTGCGTATAGAGCTGAACAGCTTTAAGACTTTAAGCGCTAGTTCAATAAACCCGCTGGCCGAAACAAAACAATGGCCATGCATTTACTCCAATTGATGTGCCGCACACATGCAACAAAAGCAACTGTCGCAATTAAAATGCAACGTTTATTTATTTGATTATTAGTATTAATGCTAAATAACGACAATTGTCACTACAAATGCAATTGGCCACCCTCGAATRAGCGAGCGAGCGGACGATGCTGCTGCCCGCATGTCGTTCCAGCAAATGGGACAATATTTTCATATATCATCAATATAGATCCCTAGCCAACCTCCCCGGTACAGCTGTGCCACCTGAATAACGCAATGTCTTGTCAGCGAGTACCTGTATCAATGTCAGCCCAAATATTCCAGCCCAGCAGCCCAACATATGTGCGTGAGCATTAGGAGGGGGATGAGGAGGAGGAGCTGGGGCGTTAAACTAATGTACGTTCGTCCATCTGTATGTCTAACTGTCTGGCTGTCCGTCCGTCTGTCCTGCGCGCAGCCATGTAATTTGTTATCCAACAATTTATAATTGCATCAAAATATACACGCACCACATGCCAGCCCTCGGTCTGGGCCTGGGCGAGGGCCTGGACTAAGCTAGCCGAGATGCCGACGACTATTTGTAAAAAGAAAAAAAAATGTATTATGAAAGCAAACATACATGCTTCTGCTCGACACTCCACGCTCAACTTTTGTGGCTCCCCCCCTCTCTCTCTCTCTCTCTCTCTTTGGAACTGTCCGATACAATTTGATGCTATGTTTAACATTTTGTACATTTTTCGGTTGTGGTTGTGCCGCCCCTGTTATTCCTGCTGGCTCTAATTTAATTTTGTACTTGACTTGCGTCGGTGTTGCTTGCGCTTCACTTTTAGTTGATTTATGAATTTTGAAATCAATTTGACAACTAACTCGAAAGCCGAAAAGTGCACATTAGTTACGCTACTTGTTGGATTTGACTGGACATGAAATTTCTTAGATATTCAATAGTTGTAAATTACTTTAAATTATATTATTGGCGAGGAGCTCGTAAGTTTTGCCAAGAGTTCCATAAAATTTCACAAACAAATTTTATAAAAATGTTAAATTGTGTAAGTAATATTAAGTGCATTTAGAACATAGCTAAAATTGTAAATTTAAAAAATATAATATTGTAAACATTTTTAAAATTACATATATAATTGTAACGTAGCTCACAAGTTTTCTGCGATTCCCAGGAAATTGAACTTAAAAATTTGCTGAAATTGCAACTGTTTCGGTGCGTTATGCTCTTTGACGTTTACACGTTTTGACAGCCATTTAAAATCTATTTAAAATGCAACCCCTAGCTGAAAATTTAGATTATCAAAGAAATCCATCCACCCGCCATCAAAACAAAACAAACACAAAGCAATTCACTTAACTCCGGAACTTAGGCGCTACTTAAAAAATGCTCAAATCAAATCGAGATGTAAGCAGCAAATAATTTCAAGGCGTGACGAAACATGTTGAAATGCACAACTCGGTAACCGCCTCTGATCGACAGCAACTTGTGCGGAAACCAGCGACGGCCGGGACGCGTGCAACACACTCAGCTCGAATCTCTCTCTCTCTCTCTCTCTCTCTCTCACTCTCTCTCTGGTTCTCCGGCTGGTCTTGTACACGTTTTTCTACTCGCTGCGCTAGCGGGTGCCGCGCTCAGCTCTGCTCTGCTCTGGTTTTTTTTTCCTTTCGTCTTTTTTGACAACTCAACTGACGCATTGCCCAATGGGGGAGGTGGCGTGCTGTGGGTGTGGGTGCGCGTTGCGCCTTTGGCTATGCCTGCCACAACTAGCACAAATGCAGCGACTCACACGGCGACATCATCAATCTAAAAAATGTTGAAAAATCTCAGTGGCTGTGCAGGAGAAGGAGAATGAGAAGGAGGAGGTGGAGGGGACACGGGTCTCTGGTATTTGGTATGTTTAAAATGCATGTTAAATGTCCATGCCTTTCGCTTTTCAACTGGATATTTGATGGAGTGGCGGCGCTACGAAAGCATTTCATGGGAAAGTGTTATAATTCAAATGATTCGTTCAGTCATTGTAATTGATTTTTATACTCTGAGTGAGTGAAGGGTATGTTGAGGCTTAGATTTAATTTGACTATATCGCTGGTGTGTTGACCTGAAAACTCGTGACGGATAATTAATAAGAGATTAAAACTCGTTGTCTCTGTGATTAATGTGTTTCTCATGACCTGAGAGGAAGGAGATATATGATTAACATAGCTTATGAGAATCGCAAAGAAAGGCAGTGGGTCTGAGATATGGAGATCGAACAGGCAAAAAGTAAGTATACATTATTTCTCTCTGTAGATAGCTTTAATAACATCTTTTTTCATCATACAGATTAGTGATAGGATGGGAACTATATAGCGAATGTGTGTAGGATATTCATTTCCAGTCATCAAACAATAAGTATAAATAATATTTCTCTTGCTTGACATCTCTTTAATAAAATATTCATACTTCTAGATGATCAATGGAACAAGCTGAACTGTATATAGAAGCTATACCCTCCACTCAGTGATTCGCCCAGCAAAACTAATTACAAAGCTGAACCACAAAGCAAGAATTTACCCAAAATGATTTTGGCACAACCGAAAAGCTGAAACCAGCAGCCGCAATCAACAGCGCAGGAGTAAACGCTGCATAAAAAGCAGGCGGCAGCTACAACAAGAACTGGTGGAAACCAACAAAACCACTCGACATGTCAACTGAAATAGAAATGGAGACGCCAGCACACGGAGCCGTAGACAAGGTCTAACTTTTTGGCTCTGGCTGGAGTGACATGAAAAGGACATGTCACACCGTATGCGCACATTAAGTGTAGCCACAATTTATCAAGCCGCATAAATCTAAATAGAGTCTGGGAGAGTTGGCAGTCGCTTGCATGGGCGCATCAAAAAGTCAAAAAGCTAATTTGCATTTAAAAGGACAGCAGCAAGAGCAGCAACGGAGCGGACCAACAATGATGCTGACGTAGCCGCCATCACAGCCATCAGGGCCATCGCCTGGCCATGCATGCAAAATATTTTAAGCAATATTTTCAATTTAATAAGCCAAGATAAATGAAGGGCAGAGCAGAAAGTGGAGGGAGGACCACACCACAGGCGGCAAACGAGCCAAAATTTATATATATATATATATATATATATTGCTATGTAGATTTGAGCACACACTCAGAGAGTGAGTTGGCATATGTGTGGCCCGTGTCCATGTGCTTATTTGCATAGTTTGGTATGCTTTGGCAATTTTTGTCAATATGCCATGCACTTCATCAAACTAGACGACTCTGGGGCTCACTGCTCTGCTGTGCTGCGTCGATAAGACGTCTTTTGTGTGCCAACTCTTTGGTGGCTTACAGCTGAAGTGAGATAAGTTAAATGACTTTGCATATTTAGTCACAATTCATGGGACACGCTTTAAAATTGAATTTGACTCTGATGCATAAATAAGCCGGCCGAGAATTCATAACATTATATTTTACAATTTATCAAGTAATTCGATTTGAGAGAGCCAAAATCGCTTGAATTGCAGCCTGATGCCATATAGATAGCCAGCTCAGGCAAATTAGCCTGTAATCAAATAAGTTAACGAGCAGTAAACAACTGACAATTGATGCATATAATTGCACTTGCTGACAAAATTCAACAATTGGCAAAATTTTCAAACCTAATTACGTTACGACGACGAGGAGTTGTATCAATGCCCGTTGCTTCCATTGTCGAATGACAATCTCAGAATCGCCGGAGTCATCCAGTGTGAGTTTGAGGTGGAGAGCCAAGCTTGCGGTCGCAACTGAAATGCAATGGGGCGTGCCACGAATGGGTAGCCAATAGAGCAGAAAGCACAACTCAAGTGGCCACAGGACAGGACACAGTCCATAAGAAAATCGCTGAGGCGTAAAGTCATTTCGTAGGCGTCGACCAAGACAGGACGAACACACACACACACACACTTACACACCATAGTTGTATGCGCAAGGAGCTCTACAGTGTACGACGACGGCTGGCAATTTGATTTTTCAATCGCTGCTAATTAGCATTGAGTCCGAATGCCATTGACAATTTGTCAACCATGGCCAATATTATCGTTTCGCTGTACAGTTTGCGTAATAACTGTGATAATTACAGCGATGACAACGATAATTTGCACACTCTCGTGTGTAGTTACTGCAATTTGCTGTGCAAATTATTCATGAATCGTGAGCTCGGCCAACACGTGGCTTTAAAGGCTTTAAGGCAACCCTTTCGGCCAAGCTGGCAGTCGTCTGGAAGCCTATTAACAAGTTACTCAGCCAGCCACGGCACCTTCTGCTGTCAAACCKTCGTGTGTCTGTTTTTTCTGTTTTCTGGTTTCTTTTCTCTTTCGTTTGCCTTTCGCCTGTGCAAATGACAGCTGTCAGTGGCACTTCACGTTCAGCCGGCAGGAGTAGCTCCTGTCAGGCTGACGGCCTGCCTGTTGCTCAACGTGGCTTGCACGTCTGCCGCTTGGATTTTTGCACTTCTCAGCAATCGAACTATGCGGACATCTTGATCAAATCAGTGTGGTGTATATATGTATGTGTATACATGTGTATATAGTCAATCATATAGCATCTCAGTAGCAGCTCTAATTTCTGCCCCCACTTTTATGTGGCGTCGGCCCCCTTTCGGAAACACAATGCCAAGTGCGAATGCAACAAATGTCATTAAAAACGTGACATAAAAAAATATTTTATGCTTGCATCTATGGCAGAACTTAGTTCTCTTCATGTGCATGCATTTACCTCTACCCTGTGGAGATGTTGTGGGTGGAATGGGGTCGTTTGATAATCAGAATGGGGAATAAAATGGTCAAGTGGCTAAGCTATATACATTAACTGAAGTTGGGATTGATATATAGGATATAATTTTATGCTATATAGGTATAACTATTCATATAGCTGGCATTTAGGTTAAGAGAGTAAATATTTATTTCTCAGACTTTCAAGCTAAACTTTCCATAGTACATAGATAATATTTTCTTTAACATGATTTATGTGTATAATGTTTAATGTATTGCCGCGATTCTTATTATCTACAATATAATCTATCTATTGTGATACATATCATATATGACTCTGTCAAATTATATATTTCCTGAAATGTTAAAGAATATTTAGCTCTTTATATTCAGGATATATATTTGATTTAGTTAAATATGTATAATATACATATGAAATAGTTAAGAGTGTTTATTGTAAATCTAAAATTTCTATACTATATAGAGAAAACTTTCCTCGACTATTTATATATGAGGTAATTTGACCTCGATTGTTAGTGTATAGATTCTATATTGACATATATCTAATCTTATACATATAGCCATATACCTTCAGCTATACATTCCTTCTTTATATATCCCTACAAATCTCTTCTTAAACTTCTTTGACCTCTCTGCTTCTAGGATATTTTCACAGTCTTCCATTTGCTTATCTTAAGCATTTCTGTTGTAATGCATTTGGCTTCCTTGTGCAGCAGCTTCGCGAATATATATGTATATGTATGAAATAAAAGCGCAAATGGCATTTCGCATGCGTTTTTAAGGTTGAGGTTTTGTTAGCTGAGGTTGAATGACCTAGGACAATAGATTTATGCTTGGGGTAGTTACACAGCTGCCCGCTGCGCTGATTAAGGGCGTTTGCTTCTTAAAGAAGGGTTATTACGACACAAGGCCCCTTTGTGCGTTCGCGCTTCTGTGGCCCATTTCGATTGCCTTCATTGCTAAGTATTGTGCTTCATTAAAGAAGACGACGACGACGAGTGCGAGGACGACTTTGGCCTGACTGTAGCGATAGCCAATGCCGATGCCAATTTCCGAGCAATTTTCAGGCAATTTGACGTGCCAACCTGGACGCCCTAATGAGACCCGGTATTACTAGCAGTAAGTCCCCGCTATCATAACGAATTTCCCACGTAACAATGCCCCAAAGTGAAATACCGAGGCCAAATGATTGGCACAAGCCAAAGACGACGACGATGAGGACGACGTCTGCTCATTGCCAGACGTCATCAACGGGCAGCGAACGTCTTCATCGTCTTGGGTATTCCCGAATGCAACAGCGGCACATTAAGTCGACTGGCAAACAGCTGCAATTTGACTTGGCTTCTGCTTGCCGCATGCAGTTGGCTTTTCTAGCTGCATATTAAATATAACACAAAATGCATATTAAATGGCATAAGCCACATGAACAGCCAGCGCAAAGACCAAGCCAAGCCAAGCCAAGCCAAGTCGAGACTCAATTTCAGTGGCAGTTTCTGTTTCGGTTTTAGTCAGGTGCTGCTGCTGCTCCTGCTCCTGTTACTCCTCCTGCTGCTGCTGCTGTTGCTGCAAGGCAAACAAGTAGATATAGCTTCGTATATACTGTACTCTGCGAATGCCAATTCCCAGCAGCTTAGCTGTAAAACCTTTAAGACTTGACGGAAACGCTGCGTGTTGTAAAATTTTATAAGTTTAGCATTTTGGCTCGCAGACTAAAGAGTTTCTTGGAAAGGTTTCGCTGCTTCTTCTTTTCTTGGCTGTAATTGAGCTACATTAGAATTTAATGGAATATACGAGAAGAGAAATGTAATATTTCTTAGCCGTATATATGGATATATGTTTCTTTAGATATATTGATTATCTTTAGGAAATTTACATGTAAAGGTTTCTCTTTTACCTGCTTTCTTGATTATACGAAAGGGGAACTGTAATATTTCTAGCCTTATATATGTTTTTATGTTTCTTTAGTTATATTCATTATCTTCAGGAAATTTATATGTAAAGGTTTCTCTTTTACCTGCTTTCTTGAATATACAAAAGGAGAACTGTAATATTTCTAGCCTTATATATGTTTATATGTTTCTTTAGTTATGTTAATTACCCTTCTTGGCCGTCATTGAGCTACATGGGAATTTAATAGAATAAATTGGTTACATAACTGTAATATTTCTAGCCTTATATACATACATACATATATATTTCTATAGCTACATTTATTATCTTCCACTTCCTGCTTAATCTTCAGCAAATTTACGTAGCAGTTTCGCGATTAAACATAAACAACTTTTGCTCACTCCCAGCTGCAAAATTTCTCTGGCTCTTTTATTTGCTGGCTCAACTCCTTTGAAATAAAATCCACACCATCTAATTAAACAAACTCGAAAAGTCGACGTGTAACCACCATAAATGAACATTAACTTGAAAATCATAAAAAGGAGTAAATGAAAAACTCTCGCCACGGCTTCTTCGTCGYCGTCGTCGTCGTCTTTTATACATAAACAAAACTCAGACTCAAATTTCATAGCATAATAAATGGCGCGCACTACCGATGCAGAAGTTGTGCCCCTGTCCCCCGCCTCCTGCACTCTTCCCCACTCTCAGCTCTCAGCCCGCTCTTGTCCTGGAGTGATGAAGTAATGAAAGTGTGCGCGCGTTGGCGAAAGAAAAATTACAATTCACGAGCGCAGCGCCAGTTATGAACTTTTTGACGTGCTAAATAATGCAGAGCAGAGTGCCCCGGGCTATGGCCAGGGGCCAAGAGCCAAGGGGTTTTTAGGACTGCGGCAGCGTGTGGCACTTCTTCATTAACTCTGGCGGACGCCTGATGATGATGAATTTTATATAAAATGCTTAAATACCTGCAATTTAACTTTTGTCCAACACCTTCTCTCCCACTTTATCTCTCTCTC